ATGAGGAAACCGCCCATGACTGTACACATTACTCTAAAGCTGGATAAATCTTACCTTCATTTGTTGCTCTCTTTGAATTAGAATACGAGTCCCTACTATTCTTCCTTTGATCATATCATTTATACCATCTCGAGCTTTCTTTTTACGGGCTTCGATGCAATGAACCTTAATAGATCGAAACGATCGTATGATGTTTAGTTTCCAGCCATCTAACTCTGTTCATCTCAGGAAATTAAAGTTCTTAGTCAACTTAAACATCCAAATATTGTACAGTATTATGGAAGTGAAATAGTAAGTGTTCTATCTTATCTTTACGTATCAGGAATAACTTCTACCAGTATTACCAACTCTAAAATTTGGGGTCATTTTTGGAATGTAGATTGGGGATCATTTCTACATATATTTGGAGTATGTTTTTCCTGGGTCAATAAATAAATTTGTCCGCGAACGTTGTGGAACCATTACAGAATCTATCGTTCGCAATTTCACCCGACATATTCTCTCTGGACTCGCTTACTTGCATAGCACAAAAACGATCCACAGGTGCGAGACGAATCCATTCTCTGTAAACAGATAATCTCTGTGATGAGTTTTTTTATTCCCATTGTTGAAGACAAGATGAACTGGCAAAAGAAAGTCATTGGATACGACATTTGTTGTGCTTTCTGTAGGGATATCAAAGGTGCAAACTTGCTAGTTGATTCATCAGGCGTCGTCAAACTTGCAGATTTCGGGATGGCGAAACATGTGAGTTTTCAAGCGCTAGTGAATATCGTTTTCGTTGCTTTCAATGTTTTTCCCTTTATAATCACAGCGTAGCCTTGTTTTTACTTCGGGCATGTTTGGGAGTAATTCTGAAATGGTCAAGACTCGATTACTTTGAAAGGGAGCCGGACAAAGTAATTTTTGGCTATTCCAAAATCACTCCTGAACATGTTCTTCCTTTCCTTATATATAATTTTAACTGTTAATTGCTTATAAACTTTGGTCATTATCTCCTCTGAAGAATTTTAAACATCTTGGAAGAGATTGAGATGTTCCAGAGGCTTAAACTCTACTGATTTTTTTTTTTTTTCCTACTCAGCTGACAGGGCAGTACGATCTTTCGTTGAAGGGTAGTCCGTACTGGATGGCTCCAGAGGTATGCGTCAAAGTCCACTTTATTTTTGAAACGGCGCGTTTTTGTTTAACTCTGAATTCATTTTCAGGTCATAAAGGCTGTTATGTTGAAAGATGCCAACCCTGATCATGCTTTGGCAGTTGACATTTGGAGTCTGGGTTGCACCATAATTGAAATGCTGAATGGAAAACCTCCATGGAGTGAGTTTGAAGGGGTGAGGTTCTTAGTTAGTTTTTGTTCTTTCTATTGGCTTTCTTCTATTTTCTTTAGACAAAATGGAGTCAGCACCTAAATTCAGTCGTTACCGAAACATCATTGAACTAACAATACATTACGTTTTCGAGTTTCCAGCATCAAGTTATGTTCAAGGTGTTGAATAAAGCCCCTCCTATTCCAGAAAAGCTATCTCCAGAAGGGAAAGATTTCCTCCAGTGTTGCTTCCAAAGGAATCCAGCTGACAGATCAACAGCAACGATGCTCCTTGACCATCCTTTCATAAGATCCTCAATCGACTCAACCATTTCAGTCCCGACATCAGCATTTTCGACGATGAACCTTGTGGTTAGTTTTACTTTTAGAATTTTATTTTTTAGTTTTATGCCTAGAAACCTCGTTAATTTTCGCATTCTACGCTCTCTCAGGTATTGAATCCTCAAGATCTCGTTCCTCCCAAAGGAGATCAGGTGCAAAAATCTCCTGGAACATCAGCTGCAAATGGTTATCTTCCATGCCGTAGGTAGCTATACTAACTCTTGCTCATGCACTTAGGTGAGATCCCACATTGGGTGGAGAGAGAAACGAAACATTCCTTATAAGGGTGTGGAAACCTCCCCCTAGTAAACACGTTTTAAAACCTTGAGGGGAAGCCTGGAAGGGAAAGGCCAAAGAGGAAAATATCTGCTAGCGATGGGCTTGGGCTGTTACAAATAGTATCAGAGCCGTCCAGGTGGTGTGCTAGCGAGGACGCGGGGCCCCAATGGGAGTGGATTGTGAGATCCCACATCAGTTGGAGAGGGAAACAAAACATTATTTATAAGAATATGGAAACCTCTCCCTAGTAGACGCATTTTAAAACCTTGAGAGGAAGCCCAAAAGGAAAAATTCGAAATGGACAATATCTGTTAGCAGTGGGTTTGAGCCGTTACGCCTTATAAATTAATGAAACACATACTTGTACATATTCTCCTGTTTTTTTTTTCTTCTTGTTGTCCATCCGTTGTACTTGATGTTGATTCTTGCAAGCTTTCCTTGCAACTAACCTCCGTTCTTTATCGAATCGCAGCCCTTCAGCGAACATTCCGAGCAATATTCCTGCCAGTGCCGTTAATAACCATCACTTTTCTATCTCAAGGACTCATAAAAGGGAAGTACCACACCTCTGAACTACGGTTGTGGATATATTTACAGGCAAATCCTAGACCCGAGGAGGCTGGCGACATGTTCTGGGATAGAGTTCATCATTCCCACGCCTCGTTCTAACGACAAAACTCAATCCTTTTTTTGAACAAACTCTCATAGGTCTTAGAAACCACCAACCTTGAGGCCTTCCATCATTGTTTGAGCGATTCCCCCGACTTACTTTTTGTACTTGTAGCAATGGTATCACACTTAAAGATGGTACTAGGAAAAGAGGAGGAGATACACACATTCTTTTTGTACACATTCTATAAGCAGGATTAGATTTGGATCTGTATATAGTTAGGTTACATTTGCGCTGGCTCGCTCGATCGCTCAATCGCTACAATGAATCACAGCGCTGGCTCGTTCATTACATCTCAGTAGACTTCAATTTCTCCCTTCAGAGAAGATTAAACACCATTTCAAGCTCAACCCATCAGAAAAGGAGCTATAAAACGGCCTGAAAATCCCAAGAACATGGAAGATCATATCTTTTGAGCTTGAAGAGAAAGATTGGAAATATGTTCAATCATATGCCAGAGGCTTCACGTGACCGTACTGAGCCATTTCAGCCAATGCTACCATGAAACAGATATCCATAAAATTATGCTCTGCTGCACTTGTTGTTGTCTTTGTTTATCTTTCCTCTGCTTAAATTACAGTGACTTTTTTTTGAAGTTTTGTAAAGTCTGTAGATTCTAAGCTCTGTAAATTGCTCATTTGGGTCATTTCACATATTTGTTTGTTTATTACTTCAAACACACAAAAAAAGCACAATCTGGGAAAGAGATTGGACTTTTTAACACTCCCAAAGATTCCATCTTTTCTCCCCTTTTTCCTTTCTTTTCTTCTCTCTGGGTTCTTATAATTTCCATCAATTTACAGTGAAGTAAACCACACATCTTTTTCGCCATTGGAGAGTGACTCTGTTTTCTTCACCTCTCTAATGTCACTCCCAATTGACCAACAATCTCCGCCGGCGCCCGGAATGCAGCAACCTTACGGCGGCCATGCGAGCAGCGGCGGCTCTGTTGGTCCTGTCATTGGAGTGCTCGTCGTCATCATTGTGTTCGCGGTGGTCGCCGTCGTTGTGGGGCGGCTGTGCTCGGGGAGGAGTATAATGGGTTACGGCCATTTCGACTTGGAGAGATGGGCGGAGGTCAAATGCTCGTCTTGTATTGACGGAAGGATTAGCTCGCCGTCGCCGAGGGTTAATGTCTCCACCGCCGCTGCTTCTCTTCCGGCGGCGACAATGTCGGTCCAAACCCAGCAAGATGAACCAGCTTCTCAAAATCCACCTCCCAACGCTTGATTATGAAGATAACCCAAAATTTCTGTTTTTTTTTTTTTTTTTTTAATGATTTTTCTTCATCTGATTCTTTTCCTCTTTCGGCGTCAGAATTGGAATGATTGTTCAAACTCTCTAAATTCTATCGCCATTTCATTTTGCTTTGCTCGATCCAGCTGCCATTTTTAATTTTTAATTTTAATATCAACTGCGATTTTATAGAAAATTATCTCTATCAAATTTTTTTTTTTTTTTTAATTAGGTTGAGTATCGTTGGGAGCTAATTACACTGGTTTATAAATAAATACAATATTATACTGTTGAGAATGTGATTTCTAACCTGTTACACTAAAAATAAAAAAATAAAAATAAAAATTATAAAGCGGATTTTCAATATTTACCATTTTCTATACAAGTCAATTTACTTTTTTAACCACTTTCCATTTTATTTAAATTTAAGTAAAAATCTCAAAAAATTACTTGTAGCCTTTGGCTTTATTCATTTAGGGTTTACTTGATAATGGAAAAGTCACCATTATCATTCAATGGAAAAGTTACCATTATCATTCGTTGAGTTTTATTTTAGTTTCTTGAGTTTGAAGCAGTATCAACAGCTGCCCTCGATAAATAAAAAGTACTCGGAAAAAGAGTGAAATCAATCTGCGTTAAGCGACTCTCAAACTAGTATTATTACTCTAATAAACTAGATAATATATATATATATTATTGACTAAAAATTAAACGTTCAAATTTTAACCGAAGATGAAAGTTTAGTTAAAAATGGAAGCATTTCTTCAGTGAGCAGATAAGGACAGGCAATGTTGGCAGCGAGCACATTGAATGCGATAATCACTAGTAACAGCCAGCTTTGATTCAGTCAACATGAATTAATGCTGCTGGAGATTCAAGCATTCACAATCCAATTTCTCTACATTGTATTAGAAATTTCGTGGTAGAACGAGTCATATTTTTATGGCTAGAGACCGAATCAACTTGTAAATATCCATGTCTAAGATTTGGAGTTCAGATTTGACACCTGATAGTTTCGACATTCTTATGTAACATGATCATGTTACCTACTATTCGCTTCTTAAGAGTGGTGAAGACTATTCTCACAAACAAACCAGAGCCATTCTAGCATATTTTATCTTCACTCGCATACATCCTAAAAAAATTCTTAAAAGAGGTCACCCGACATATAATTGCTCTTGTGATTGAGCCAATGTAAAGGAAAGTACACTTTGTTCATATACCCAACATATAATTGCTCTTGTGATTGAGCCAATGTAAAGGAAGGTGCACTTTGTTCACAACCTGACTTTCAATTCTTTTAAGCATTTCTTGGTTACTCTATTCTCATGATCACTCTCATTCGGATGTAGTTTCAGTTCATTCATATACCCTCATTTACTTGAGTGTCATATGCCTCTACCAGTTTCTACCTTAGTTCATCCCGAACCACATCTTATTAGGAAGAGCTACCATTCTGATACCATTTGTAACGACTCCTCCTGACACAATTAGAGAGGTTCAATTTCTAAGATCAAAAACAAAAAAATTTCCGCAAATTATAAATTTTATTTATGAAATGAATTTTACCTTTAGTTTATTTTTTCTAATACAAGATTTGATATGTATATATATATAAATAAATAAATAAATAAATAAATAAATAAGCTAATTAACTCGACTCGATACAGTTTATATGTCTAAAATAGAGATGAAAATGTTGAGAATGTAATATTTTATATTATAAGCTCATAAATTAATTAATTAATTAATTCTAGCTTCATGGTTTATCCATATATTATTAAACACAACACAGTTCAAACAAAAGCTTAAATTAAAATCCATTTCATACCTCTTTTGTTCCAAATGTCTGTGTTTCAACATGGTGGCTGCTGCTTGTTATCTGATCCAGGGAGTGTTGTCGGGCGCTTCAGTTTGAGAAGATGAGAAAGTCCTGCAATTACATGAAGCCGACTGCTCGGAATACCCGTCTTTGCTAGCGCCTTGCCTTGTTTGTCCAAAATCACGAAGCAAGGAACATAACTAATATCATAATGAAGAATCTGCATAAACATGTAAGCAAGAACATTATGAGCAATACTAACACAAACCCCCATTCAATCAAACACACCACATATTTCAGTTCATATGATCCTTTTACAAGAAAAATATCCATAGAACTATGGAAGTGAGATCAACACGAACGATTCTGGGTAAGCTTTGAACACATAGGGCGATTCGGTAGAAACACGAAAAGGATTTGAAGAGTGATCTTCGGGCAATCATTAAGTTATTAATGAAAATGTTGCAGAGGGGATTAACAAATTTGTAACAGCTCAAACCCACCGCTAGTATATATTGTCCTCTTTGGGCTTTTTCTCAAGGTTTTAAAATGCGTATGCTAGGGAGAGATTTCCATTCCCTGTTTCGTTCCTCTCCAACCGATGTGAGATCTTACAATCTACCCCCTTGGGGACCCAACATCTTCGCTGGCACACCGCTCGATGTCTAACTCCGATACCATTTGTAACAGCTCAAAACCACCGCTAGCTAGATATTGTCCTCTTTAGGCTTTCCCTTTTGGGCTTCCCCTCAAGGTTTCAAAACGGGTCTGCTAGGGAGACTCTCCCACCCTTATAAGGAATGTTTCATTCCTCTCTCCAACCGATGTGGGATCTCACAATCCACCCCATTGGGGGCCTAGCATCCTCGCTAGCACACCACCTGGTGTCTGGCTCTGATACCATTTGTAACAGCTCAAACTCACTGCTAGCAGATATTGTCCTCTTAAGGCTTTCCCTTTCGAGATTCCCCTCAAGGTTTTAAAACGCGTCTGCTAAGGAGAGATTCCACACTCTTATAAGGAATGTTTCGTTCCCCTCTCCAACCAATGTGGGATCTCACAAGATTAGTACCACTAATTCTTATATGCTACTAAATTATGATGTTGTAAGAGGGAAAGTTGAGCACCTCAGGCAGCCATTTATCATTCTCTGCATCAGCCATCACAATGTTAAGCCATTGTGAATTCCTTGCCTCCATCTGCGTAACAAAACCAAGCAATGAACTGCAAAGGGGACATTTAGGCGAGTAGAACTCAATGACGGTGGCTTCTTTCCCACAGGCTAATGCTGCTGCAAATGCCCTATTTTCTGCCTCTCCTTGCTCTTCAGGACTTAGCTTTTTTCTAGACTTAGATATCTTATTTCCATCAAACGACAATGGCTTGAAAGCATTGACCCATGGAGGTGATGACTTTGAAACTTCGTTTAAGAAATTGGAAGCAAAGACACCCACATTTTGCAGTGATTTGAACAGCCAAGGACCCTCAAATGAACAGTCAGAAGGATTTTTAGGGTTTATGTCCCATGGCCATTTGAAGCAAAAGAGAGGCTGTTTGGGTGTCGAACGCATTATATCTTCAAATTTCCTCCAAAAATTATCACCAATCCCCTGCAATTGAAACTTCCATTGCTGAAGACATTCAAAGAATTCCAGTTTCTAATAAGAACAAAAAAAGTTAACCTAGATTTTCAATTTAACTGAAACTCAAACTTGAACTGCGAATCTCTGGAACTCGCGATACTTGCGCCATTTTAATGGATTTAAGTTCGTATTTCAACAAGGAATCACCACAGAAATTCGCCGTCGATTTTGTTTTCGAACATCTTGAATCTTAATTCAAGAGATTCAGTGGATTCGGAATTCTAAAACCTAAGTTCTCGAACGTTTTCCTTTCATTCCATTCACGAAAAGACAGTAAAACGAAAGGATTACAGAGAGAAATGAAGGATTCTATTACCTTGTTGTACTTCTTCCAGAAGCTCGGTGCTCGAAACTTGTGAGTTGCAGATGCTTGGCCTGAAAGAGAAGGGCGCTACTGCGCAGCAATTTGGCTTGGCTGAAGATTATGCCGATGCGCAAAGGAAGAAGACGACGACATTGAGAAGGCTAGGAAAGAAAAGCAGGGCGAGCGGAGGGGGGGATTTCGAGCTCGATGGCTTCTCCTTTGCCTTCATCTATGTCCGTCGTTGAGAAAGGATTGAGTTCGGAATCCGGCGGCGACAGTTTCGTTGTTGGGCCAATATTGGGCCTTTTGTGAGTGTTTAAATCTTGTGTGGGCGTTGTGGGGGTCAACCCGGTCGCTTCTATGACACTGCAAACGAGGCTCAAGGGCTTCTTAAGGAAGGCAGCAAAGATTGAGAGTAAACCGAAAGGCGTTTTCTGGTCCCCTTGAGTCGGGTGGTACTGATGTGTGGGGGTGTGCCACGATGAAACAAGGGATACGCTAACGCCTTTACTTAAGATCTGAAAATTCAAATGAAATGAAAGAGGAAATAGAAAAATAAGTAAATTCCTTTCGAGTTTTACCTTCACCCTTCTGTGCACCCGCCTTAGTTAAGGCCGATCTCACAGCTTTTCAGAGGTCATGTTGTAGCTTCCGGCTTCGCCCACGAATCCTTAAGCTCATTTATTGGAAAACAACCCAATCTTCGTAGAAGTATCCGATCAATATGATATAGGGTTAGGTTGTAAATAGACTTATTTGGCTAAGATAGTCCTTTCAGAGGTTGTGCTACAACTTCCAGCTTCGCCCACGAATCCTGAAGCCCACTGATCGGAAAACAACCCGATTTTCGTAGAAGTATTCAATCAATACATTTTAGGGTTGTGTTGTAAATAAACTTATACTGCTAAGATAGTCATTCCAAAGGTCGGCTGCAACTTTCGACTTCACCAGTGAATATCGCAACGTTTTGAGGACATTAAAGTAATGGGTTGAATATCCACTCGCATCATCAAATCCATTTTTGGGATGTTAATTATCGTTCGACTTGGTTGCACCTTGCTCTTTAACATGGCACTGCAATTCTCGACAAGAGCTATAGTCTCGTACTCTCCTCGACATCTCTCCTTTGATCCAAGACTTTGTGAGATTTTATATTGTAATCCGTGTTTAAAAAAACTAGGGGGGATTAATCAGATCTTTTGACCTAATTAATTAAAAGATTTTACAATCAATTCAGATGAGATTTTGTCATTAAATGTTTATTGAAAGCTTATGATACTCAAATATTTAACTGCACCCCTAATTTAGTAATATCTAAAAGCACACAAAGCCTAACATTGGGGCCACCAAGCATGTGCCCCCACTGCCTTTATTCCTTCTTGATAATTATTTTGTCAAAAATATACATTTCTTTTTTGTTATATTTTTTTTAAATTAATAATCAAATATTAAATTTCGGCATGTATCCGACTCTCCACAATGGTATGATATTATCTAATTTGAACCTAAGCTCTCGTGGCTTTACTTTGAGCTCCCAAAAGGCCTCATACCAAAAGGATTTGAAAGACTTACCCGTGGTTACCTTTGAGTATGCCTGAGATTCAGACCATAATACCCTTTCCTATTCTCGTTGACTCGGAAGCTGACTGTGAAGCGGACTTAGAGGCTAAGAGCAGACTTGCTTCCTTTACTAAGAAGAAGGAGGGGATCTTTTAGCTGGACATCATCTCATCTAGTGGTGGAGCGAGGGGAGCTTTCAAAGTAGCCATTGTTTAAGGGGGTAGGAGAGCGTAGAAAATCCTTAACTCCTGAACCCGATGTAACTCGGTAATTCTCTTCTCGGAAGTCAAGACTGATGCAATCAAGAATTTCTGTACTTTTTGTTTATTTCTAATTTTTTGCATTCTTTCTTTTCTATAATCTACTGCCCTCTTGTCTAATGCAATTATCTGATGAAGTCTCATCAGACTACCTTTACCCTCACATTGTTTATAAACAAACTCATAGATACTATTTTTTTATTATAAACTCATGATCATTCCCTAAATGAACAGAATGCGACTTTCATTCACCAACTAATGTTAGTTACAAATGTTAATGATGCACTCTGATTTGTAAATATTTGATATTTAATAAGGGTGTTCGTAGATTGGATTGAGATATTTTTAAACCCAATTGAATGGTCGGAGTTATTAATTTTTAAATTAAAACAAACTCGGTTAAATAATGAACCCAATTAATCCAACTTTAAATTTTTTGAGTTTGATTGGTTTGGATTGTTCTCAGTCATTTAATCAAATTTTTGTTTTTAATATAAGTAAAAGGTCAGTTATTAAAACATTTATTTATTCATTTTTAAATATTTAATTAAAATTTACTCATCAATTTTAAAAAAATTATTCTAAATAGTTTGAAAAATTAAAAGGTTTGACGTAATAAATAATAAAAATTATAATTATGAAATTAAATAAAAATAAGAACCAAACCCAATTCACTTTTAAAATAAGTTCTTAACAACCATGAATTGTCTGAGCACTCGAATTTAGCTATTGATTTTATATGTACAGTGAATAAACATAATTTTTTAACAGAAATCCAACTAAAAAACAAAGTATTTGGTCGATTACGAAATATCGAGTCATTCGTGTCATCAACTTAACCAATCTAAAAATTAAAATTTTTAAAAGTAAAATCTCGAGCCCAACTCGTGCAAATAGCATAATATCTTGTCTAATAAATATTTAAATGTGAGTATTTATTTAATAATTATTCCCATAAATTAAAATTAAAATTAAAAAAAATCTGCAATCCAAACAGAAGGAATCTCTCTACTTCCCCATTTGCCATTTAATAAATATATTTATGGAAATAATAAAGATAGGAAAGTTCGTAACACATTCATTCTATGATTCCATATTGTTTTAAAAATTAATTTCAATATTATAAAATACAGAGATTTGACAGTTGAAGCAAAGTTGTTGAGCCTCACGACCTTATCTAATTCCATTCAAACCTGCTTTTTAAAAAAAAAATAATATTATGCCAAAAATAAAAGCAGTTGAAATTAATTATAATATTCCGAAACAGGCCAGGCTGTAATGCCACGTTGGAATTTTTTTTTAAGGAATCATTATATTAACAGGAAATTAATTAATACAGCTTTTTCTATGGCCAAAAAAAAATTAAAAAGAGACAGAGAGGACTTCGGCATATTCGTTAATGAAACTCTTGATTTTCCAAAAACGTCGTCGTCATGTACTCTCTCACCTCCCTTGCTACCACATCCCTCATTGCATCCCAAAACCCCGCCGGAAAACTCTCAATCCGCCGCTCCTCTGCTACCACTCCGCCGCTGATTCCCGGCGGTGCTAGAGTCAACGCGGTCAATGGGTCATCCTCTAATGGTACGGAGAGTTTCAAATCAGAATCAGTCACGGCATTGCCGTGATTGTCAGGGGTAATTCCGTCCATTGCTAAATGATGTTGTTGGTCTCTTGCTCTTCGCTTAAGCGTGGAGTTCCAGTGATTCTTAACGGCATTATCGGTTCGGCCTGGAAGTAACCGGGCAATGGTAGCCCACCGGTTCCCGAATCGGGCATGAGCCGCTAAAATCGTCTCATCCTCGGTGGCGGAAAACGGCCGGTGCTCGACGTTTGGACTCAACTGATTACACCACCGGAGGCGGCAGGACTTCCCGGACCGGCCTTTAATGTAACGGCTAATCAAGGACCAGTTTCGGGGTCCATAGCGGTCGACGAGATGGATCAGAATCCGATCCTCCTCCGCACTCCAGGGGCCTTTGATCTTCTCAGGGCGGCGGGAGGGCTTGGCGGAGAAGGAGGTACCGGATGACGTGGAGGAGGAGGAGGAGGAGGAGGAGGAGGAGGAGGAGGAGGAGGCGGTTGTCATGGTTTGGAGTGAGAAAAGAGGAGTGAGAGAGGGAGGAGGGGTTTGTTTGGGGGATTTATATGGGAGGAGAGAGAAGGTGCATGCATCTGGTTGTGATGCATAATCCAATGGCTTTCAGGTAAAGACTATAGAGGGAGCTTCCAGGAAACTGGATTCTGTAAAGTAGGTGGGGAGTACGTACTAGATCTATGTACCCTCTTTCTTTTCTTTTTTTTTTTTCTTTTTTTTTTAATATATATATATATATATATATATATAATTTCTGTGAGCCAATTTGCCGCAGTGTGATTCTGCATTGTCTGTTTTTTTAAATAAATATATTGTTTTATTTATTTATTATTATGTTTTTAATAGTGGGATTTCTTGGGATATTACATGATATTTTATTTAAATTAAATTGATTAATTAATTTGAATCAATTATGATGGGTTTGTGTTTAAGGGTTGGGATCGATGGAGAATTTGAATAATGATACTGTGTTAACCGCTCAAGCTTACTGCTAGTAGATATTGTTGTCTATTGACTTTTCTTTTGAGAACAAAACGTTTTTTTTAAGGATATGGAAACTTCTCCCTAATGAATGTGTTTTAGAATATTAAAGGGGAAATTTGAAACGGAAAGCCAAAGAATACAATTTTTGTTAGTGGTGGAGTTGGACTGTTACAAATGATATTAGAGTTGTACTTTATGTTGTGTGTCAGTAAGGATGTTGGGGCCTCAAAGGGGTGGATTGTGAGATCCCACATGGGTTGGAAAGAGGATTGGGTGTGGAAAACTCTCCCTAGTAGACGAGTTTTAAAACTTTTAGGGGAAAACTCAGAACGGAAAGTCTAAAGAAGGTAATATTTGTTAGCGGTAGACTTGGCTTGTTACGAATGGTCTTAGAGCCAGACACCGTGTCATGGGTCAGTGAAGATATTGGGTCCTAAGGGGGTGGATTGTGAGATCCCACATCGGTTGGAGAAGAGAATGAAACATTTCTTATAAGGGTGTGGAAAACTCTCTCTAGTAGATGCGTTTTAAAACTTTTAGAATGAAACCTTAAATAGACTGTTATGAATGATATCAAAGCCAGACACCATGTCGTGGGCTAGCGAGAACGTTGAGCTCTGAGGAGGTGGACTGTGAGATCCCACATTGATTGGAGAGGAAAACGAAACATTTCTTATAAGGGTGTGAAAAACTCTCTCTAGTAAACGTGTTTTACCTTGAGATGAAGTTTAAAAGATACAACACAAGAAAGCAATATTGTGTGGACTATTACTGATATAGTCAGAGTGCTTACAAATTGGACACAAGTAAAGCCACGTACCTTTATGAGAGGGTGAACTCCAAATTTGTGCTCTCTTTTTTCTTGACACGAGTGTCACATCATTGTGATGGAAC